GAGTTTTCTAGAATATGACAAAGCGCGCATTTCTGGATTAAATTCTCTCTTGGATGAAAGAACAAGCAGCTTGGATTTCAATCGACAGACATTTGAAATACTTAACCAAAGAGTAAACCAGCAGTCTCTTGCCCCACCTCTACCTCTCTGTCTCGCTACCCAGAAGTAACTCCTTGTGTCTCTTTTAGTTATTTTGGTTATTTCCTTCCATATTTTTTTCCTGATATTTCTAGACTTTTTTCTTCAGTACCAAGGATTGAACCCAGGACTTTGTGCGTACAAGCTCGGCAAGTGCTCTGCCACGGAGCTATATCTCCAACCTTTTTTTCATTGTTGGTTTTTTTTTTAATGTTTTTCATATCTATTAATTAACATGAAGCAAATTTTTATGCTGCTTCCTCAAATATAACTCATTTTTTATTGATTGATTTTTTTGTGTGTATTTCATATAGAACATCCAAAACAATCTTATTCATCTTTATACATGCATCCCAAATGGCATCCTACCATAGCCCCCCTCCACTGGAGCCCATACATTCTGTCATCCCTGTTACTGTCCACTGTGTTATCAGTGCCCCTAGCCATTACCCAGTGCTTGTCCATCCACTGAGTCTAGTCAGCCTATCTAGAGTTCCTTGTTTTAGGAAGATCAGCTCTTCCTCATCTAGCAGCAGTTGCCAACATTCCTTTAGATTAGATTGGGGTCTGCTGTTCATTTTCCCAGTTCTGTGCTGGGTTACTGTCTGGGAGTCTCTTGGGATACCCTGGCCAATAACTCAAAGGAAGGTGTCTCTTGTCTGGCATTATTTCTTGTTATGTAGCCTTTAGCTATGCATATGGACTCTTAAGAAATTATATTGGCCCCTTTAATCTTTGGTTATACTTTCCTTTTGGGTGTTTAAGACCATAGAATTGGCCCAGATAAACCAATTTATTTTTACTCTTAAAGTCATTTGAGGATCTGTTCCTCAGGGGTCACATGGGCTTGAGAGGAGCCCCTTGTTCCTTTCTTTTACCAGTTCTGTCTATGTGAAGATAAGTCAAAGGTCCTACTCAACCATGGCTGGCTTCACTTGGAAGCATGAAGGAAATGATTCCTCTGTGTTGACTCTCCTCTTTGTAGACTGGACACTAGTTCAGGTCCATCTGGTGGGGTCTCCATGGTCTCCTTGATCAAGAGGACAGGTGACTCACCACAGTTACAGGACATTTTAAGAGATGCTCCATAGTCCCCTGGAACTTGGTCAACCTTGGAGGGCAAGGAGCAAAAACTGTCCTTTAAGTCCCTCTGACCAGATTAGTATAGGCCTTCAAGTATGGCTATATGTTTTTTTGTTTTGTTTTTTATTTAGAGGCAAGGTATCAGTAAGTTGCCCATGCTGGCCTTGAACTCACTCTATAGCAGCAGCAGGCCTTGAATTTGTAGTCTCCCTGCCTTAGTCTCCCAAGTAGTTGGTATTACAGGCCTGAGCCGCTAGCTCCAGATCTTTCTAGACCTTTTGATTTTGTATTCCAGAAGTTTCCTTGTAATACTTTCTCTCATTTTTCTCCTCCATTCTTCTCAATACAGTTGTGCTTATTTAATTATTTAGTATTAACGTTATTCTGACTGCTCATATTTTATTTTGAGTCAAATCATGTTTTTCCCCCTTTTAAAAAAATTTGTTTATGGGACTGGAGAGATGGCTCAGTGTTTAAGAGCACTGGCTGCTCTTACAGAGGACTTGGGTTCAATTCCCAGCACCCACATGACAGCTAACAACTGTCCATGACTCCATTTCCAGGGGATCTGACATCCTCTTCTGACCTCCCCGGGCATTGCATGACATGGGTTCACTTACATACATGCAGACGATATACTCATACACATAAAATAAAAATAATAAATAAAAATATTTTTTTAAAATTTTGTTTATTTGAGAGAGGGTCTTGTTATAAGACCATGACTGGTCCATGAGATGGTCCTTCCTGTGTCTACCTCTGTCTCCGCAGTGCTGGGTTTACAGGTGTGTGCCACCATGCTCAGCTTTTTTTTTTTAATTTTGAAAAAAAAATTTTTTTCACATGCATGCATACATTTCACAGTGTGTATGTGGAATCAGAAGGCAACTTAAAGAGTCAGTTCCCAGAGATTGAATTGAGATTGTCAGGCTTGGTGGCAAGTGTTTTTACCTGCTGAGACATCAGCCCTTCCTTCTTCCCTCCCTCCTTCCCTTTTTCCTTCCTCACTCTCTCCCTCCCTCTCTCCTTCCCCTTTTCCTTCCTTCCCTCCCTCCCTCCCTTCCTCCCCTTCCTCTCTCTTTCCTTCCTTCCCTCCCTTCCTTTCTTTCTTTCTTTCTTTCTTTCTTTCTTTCTTTCTTTCTTTCTCTCTCTCTCTTTTCTTTTCTTTTCTTTTCTTTTCTTTTCTTTTCTTTTCTTTTCTTTTCTCATACTATAGCCAAAGCTGTCCTGGAAATCACTGTATAGCTCAGGCTAGTCTCAAACTCACTGTGATCCTCCTGCCTCTTGAGTGCTAGAATTATAGGTATGAGTCACCACCCTCAGCTCAAGTCATTCATTTTGATATTTCCTATTATGTCCAGTAAAAATACATTTTCATAGTTAAAAATGATCAAACTCTTCAATTACTTAGGTGTATACCTAGTACTGATTAACCAATTTAACAGGAATTTCTTAAGTGCCTACTCTGCATTGTCTTTGGTGCTAGGGCATATTAACACAGTAGACAAAGATCCTCTCCCTTATGATCTAGGTGGGAGATGGTAAAACCTAATGCTAGCAGGGGATAAATGTGAAAGGGGAAAAACAGCACTGTAAGGGGATTTGGCGTGTGGACATAGGACCAGAATGGAATACTAAATAGGTGAAGTTACCTCCTCGTGAAGAAGTCGTGTTTGAGTCAGCCTGCATTCTTCCTAGTCTCTGTGTCCTCCTTACTCCATGACTCCTGGCTTTCCTTTCTGGAGGTCTCCACCTGCCCCACTGAACTAGTTTACTCTCTCTCTCAAAAAATTTTTTACTGGGGCCAGAAAGATGATTCACCAGATAAAAACACTTGCTGCCAAGCTTAACAACCTGAGTTCCATCCATGGGACCCACATGGTGGAAGGAGAGAACTGACCCCTGAAAGTTGTCCTCTGACCTCCACACATATACCATGTCTTGGGCACGCCCCCCCCCCCCTGCCGCCCAATACATAAATGTAATGAAAACATTCTCTTATAGCTTCCTGAGAAAGGGTAAATGAAGGCAGGAAAAAATATTGAGAGCATTGATATCTCAGAGTACTATACCTACCCTTATATTTGATTGAAAGTTTGGCTCAGTTTAGAATTTTCAGTTGGAAATAAATTCTCTGGGAATATAGGCATTCCTCTGTCTTCAAGCATCTGGTGTTGCTGAGGAGCATGTCTTCCTGATTCTTTATTCTGACCTGGTTTTTCTCTCAGGAAACATGTAGGATTTTTCTTTTTATTCCGATATTCTGCAGTTTTCTGAGGTGGGCTAGACTTTGGTGCGGATTTTTGTTTTATTATTTATTTATTTATTTATTTATTTATTTATTTTTGTGTTTTTATTGTTTGTGTGTGTTTTAATTTTTTTGGTGCTTGGCATTTAGTGAACCCTTCAATTCTTCAATCTGGGGAACTTCCTGATCTTGCTTCTTTGTTGGTTGACCTCAGTAACTAGATCTGCCATGACCCAAAAAGAAGTTGGGTCACAGCAATTTGTCTTGATGCACGGTGCACTGAACCCTTGAAATAATGAGGAGTTTGTTGATAAGCATGCTTTTAAAAATTGATGTAAAGGCAGGCAGATCTCTGTGAGTTCAAGGCCAGCCTGGTCTACATAGTGAGTTCCAGGACAGCTGGGGCTACAGGGAGACCCTGTCTCAAAAAGGCCCCCCCCCAAAAAAAAATTGATGTAAAAAGTAGAATACTTTTTTTCCTCCAGCTACTGGGACTTGGAGGAAATAGAAAGCCTTTTTTTTTTTTTATAGTACAGTAATTTATTTTTAAGATTGGCAGCTTATGAGACAGATTCTTAAAGAAAGAGAGAGAGGGTCTGGGAATGGGAGGCGTCTGTCTGTGTTCACCTTTGGGGCCTGACCTCCATTTCTCTTTTCTTAGTCTTTCTTCATGTCTCTTATCAAATTTTTAATTAATTAATTTTTACAGCACTGGGGATTGAACTCATGCTAGGCAAGCTCTTTATTACCAAGCTATATCCCCAGTCCATCCAGTTTGACATTTAGTGTGTGTGTGTGTGTGTGTGTGTGTGTCTGTCTATCTGTCTGTCTATCCACGTGCTTGTGGAAATCAGAGGAAGTTGTGGAAATTGGTTTTCTCCTTTTGCTATGTGGGTCCCAGGGACTGAACTCAGATCATAACTGCCTTTACCCACTGAGCTATCTAACCGACCTGCATGTATTTTGAATTGAGATTAAATATTCACATAATATAAAATTCCCCATTATGGTAATTTTAAAGTGTGTAACTTAGTGGGTTTGTGTGTGTGTGTGTGTGTGTATCTATGTATTCGTGTATGTATGTGTGTGTTTACAGTGTTATGAGACCTTCACCATTACATAATTCCAGAAGGCTTTCATCATTCTCAAAGAGAAACCCCACACTCATTAAGCAGTTAGCTTGTATCTCCCACTCCCCACTCCTGGCACCACAGCTCTGCATTCTCATTCCATGGACTGCATTGTGGATATATCATGTAGACAGGATGCTACACTGTGGGCCTTTTGTGTCTGCCTCATTTCACTTAGCAGATTTTCAGGAGTCATCAGTGTTGAAGCATCTCAGTACTTCATGGTGCTCTTCGGTTGGTTGTCTGGTTATTTGATCTTCCACTAGCCAGAGAAGACTTCTGCATTGTTTTTCCTTATTTTGACTTTAATACTGACTTTAGCTTGCTTTCCCCCCAAACATCTGTTAGCCACAAGATGATCTGGAATTGTCCACTTTTTCACTGTGCTTATTGTCTTCTAGTATGCCAGTACGGAGGTGGATGGAGAACATTACATGACCCCAGAAGACTTTGTCCAGCGCTATCTGGGCCTATACAATGATCCCAACAGCAATCCAAAGATTGTGCAGCTCTTGGCGGGAGTAGCTGATCAAACCAAGGATGGGTAGGAACTTTTATAAACTTTCAAAAACCTAATTAAATATTTCATTAAAAATGTAAAAGCTGTTAAGTTTTACATGTATTTATCCAGATTTTCTTTTTCTTAACCTACCTTCCTCCCTCCCTCCCTTCCTTCCTTTTCTTTTTTTGAGACAGGGTCTTACTATGTAGTCCTGGCTGGCCTGGAGATCTGCCTGCCTCTTCCTCCCAAGAACTAAGATTAAAGGTGTGTCTCGCCATACCCAGCCTGTATATAGAATTTTAAAGTAGTCATTTCTTTGAAGTTTATAAAAATGGTATTATTTACTCCCATTCTCAAGGATACTGTCATTTCTTTCTTTTTGAAAAAAGTTATGAGAGAAGCCATTTTTTATTTTTATTTTTTTAAACGCTTTAAAAAATATTTTATTTATTATGAGTGTATTGCCTACATGTATGTGCGTACATGTAGTGCAATGCCATGGAGGTCAGAAGAGAGAAGCCATGTTTTATATTGAATAATTTGATCAGGATGGGCTCCAGATAACTAAATTTAAATCTTACATTCATTTGTGTGGTAAATATTGAGTGCCTTCTTTGTTTCAGGCATTATTCTTGGTGTTAGAATGTGCCAGTAAACAAGCCACAAAAGGTAATAAAGAAAATAAACAAGTAAATGACACCATATTCGGAAGTGATAAGTATCACAATGAGTTTAGAGAGCGGTGCGTATTTGTCTGTGTACTTACTTGGCAAACATGTTTAGCACCACCATTTGTCAGGCATGGTTGGGCCTTATAAATGGAAGCATAAATAGAGGTTGCTGACCTTAAGAATAAGCTTGTAGCTTAGTGAGAAAAAGGCGGTGGGTAACACTTCTGGGGTAAGGCACATTGATAGATACATGTGCAAAGTACATAGAAGCTACCCAAGAAAGCATGGTTAACTCTATTTTGAGTAGTGAGGACAACATCGTAGAATAGGTGACATTTGAGTGAGATCAGTGGGAGCTTTCTGATAGACTGAGAAGGAGAATTGAGGGACAGAAACAGGAGTGCCATGCAACATGGAGGGAAGTCCTGTTGTAAGCTCTTTGGTGTAGCTGTGACATTGTTTTGTTGCTGCAGGGGATGGAGGTGGAGTGCTGGGAACCTTGTGTGTGAGCTTTCACTGTATCTTGTACTTAAGGACTCTCAGTCTTGAGGTACTTTTTAACCTGGTAGTGTAGGGGAATGAAGTCACAGAAACAAGAAGATTCATCTTCCTAAAGTGTCAGTTCATTTCTCAAGGGGAACTGTGGATTTTCGTAAAATCATGTGAGGCTGAATCATGGAATAAATGAAATACTTGCAGAATTAAAGAAAACGATTGCTTGCTATGGTAGTTTTCAGCTGTATCCCTAAACCTTTAAGGGCCCAGGATCTTTTCCCAGCTGTGGTGGTGCTTGTATGAAAAACTAGGCAGTGAAGAGTCTTTACCCAGTGCCACAGATGTGATCAGGGTTAGAAGGCTGGAGTAGAACAAGACATGCACAGTGAAACGAGTCAGGTGACTGTTGTGAGGTTTAAAGTGTAAAGACTGGTATATAAGTTCTTTATTTCTAGGACTGACACTAGGACACTAATTTTTATTATCCCAAAGAACTTGGCACAGTGCATGAAATTTACTACGTTCAACAAATGTTTATTGAATGAGTATTTTATGACTTGGAAAGATGTTGTATTGTTGTAAAGGCAGATACTGGATAGCAGGTATACATTTTGTCTAGTCTCTAAAAAATGTCAGATCAGTTCCTAAGCCTCTAATGAGGTCATTTATGGAGTCTGAATAATGATTGACTAGTAAGGCTTATGGACAGTAATTTATTGAATCAGAATCCTTTCCTCAGAATTATTAAAGGTAACACATTTAACTTGTTCAGAAATTGTCGACATTTCTGTTGTTATTGGATTTGAGACCAACTTTTAGACTATCCATGTTTTCAAGTTGGCTGAGTAGATCAATAATGGGCTTTCTTTCCTTTTTTTTTTTTTTTTTTTTTTCGATAGCCTCCCTGTAGTCCCAGCTGGCCTGGAACTTGCTATATAGACCAGGTTGGTCTTGATCTCATAGAGATCCACTTGCCTCTGCCTCCCAAGTGCTGGGATTAAAGGCATGTGCCACCACATCTGGTTCAATAATAGGTTTTATCTAATGGAGAATCTAATAACTTAGAGTAGAGTTTACTTATTTTTGAGAGTCTCACTATATGTCCCTGACTGTCCTGGAACTCACTGTGCAGCTCATGCTGGCCTTGAACTCAGAGATCTGCCTGACTCTGCCTCCCCAGTGTTGAAATTACAGTCATGTGCCACTATGAGTAGCTGAGTGTACTTTTTTTTATTTTAAAAAATATTTTCATTTAAAAAATTTTATGTGTATGAGTGTTTTGCCTGCATGTATGTAAGTGCACCCATGTCGTGCAAGGTCCACGGAAGACAGAAGAGAACATTGGATCCCCTGGAACTGGAATTATAGAGAGTTGTTAACCACCATGTGGATGCTGGGAATTGAATCCGGGTCCTCTGAAAGAGCAGCCAGTGAGTGTACTTTTTAAACAGTCTTTTCACTTTCCTTTTTTTGGGTGGTTTTGAGACAGGATATTGATATGTATCCCAGGATGGATTTAAACTTGCAATAGTTTTTTTGCTCTAACCTCCCAAGTGCAGGATTATAGATATCAGCACACCTGACAGCCCTTTTGACTATTTTTTTTTTGAGATGGAGTCTCATTTAGTCCAGACTGGCCTTGATATGTAGTTGGGGATGACCTTGAATTCTGATTCTCCTGCCTCAGCCTGAGTGCTGGGATTATAGGCATCCTGATCCTTTTCAGTTTTAAAAAGGGAAATCCATCTTATTTCAGATCTTAAAAGCTTCTTAAATCCCTCCTTTCTCCTTTCCTCTCCCCTCTCTCCTTCCCTCACTCCTCTACCTATTTATTTCTTCTTAAAAATTTTTTATTATTTTTATTTTATGTGTATGAGCATATTGCCTACATGTGTGAGTGCACCTATGCCATACAATACCCAAGAAGGTCAGAAGAGGGAGTTGGATGCTCTGGAACTGGAATTATGGATGGTTGTTAGCTGCCCTGTGGATGCTGGGAATTGAACCTGGGTCCTCTGCAAGAGCTCTTAACTGCTGAACCAACTCTCCAGCCCTATTTATTTGTTTTCCTCTTGGGAATCAGTCAGAATGGGGTTAGGCAAGAAATCTGATTCATAGCCTGGTATGATGGTGCACGCCTTTGATCCCAGTGCTCTGGAGGCAGAGGGAGGTTTCTGAGAGTTCAAGGTCAGCCTGGTTTACATAGTGAGTTCCAGGTCAGCTGGGGTTACAGGGAGACCCTGTCTCAAAAAGATTAAAAAAAATCAATCTGATTCATGGAGTTAGGTCAGAAAAATTGTGAATGAGCTTATGAAACATAGGTAAGAAAAATTGTGAATGAGTTTATAAAAACATAAATTACTTCTAGAAGCACAGAAAAGTAGACATTTCTAGAAAAAATGGTTTTTAGCCTCTTGTTCATGGATAGTTTTTAGAAGTTGCTAAACTTTCTGAATATAACACAAAATGGATGGATTTGCATCAGCATTTTTCTGGGGGGTAAAATTTAGGTTTTCAAAAAGGCTAAGTATCATGGTTAAGAGTTTTACATGTTTTACATCTTTTTTTTTTTTTTTTTTTTTTTTTTTTTGTCTTTTTGAGACAGGGTCTCCCTGTAGCTCCAGCTGTCCTGGAACTCACTATGTAGACCAGGCTGGCCTTGAACTCGCAGAGATCTCCTGCCTCTGCCTCCTGAGTGCTTGGATTAAAGGCGTGCACCACCATGCCCAGCAAGAGTTTTACATCTTAATTCAACATAAAGCTTTTGATAATATTTGACTTATTCAAAGAAGTCAGCCTTTATTTAACAGTGAGGCAAAGTGAGGCCTAGAGAGGTTAACTGGTTTTCCTGGAAATGCAAAATTAGATTCAGCAGCATATATACTAACATTGGAACAATACAAAGAAAGTTAGCATGGCCCCTGCACAAGGATGACATGCAAATTCATGAAGTGTTCCACATGAAAAAACAAACAAAAAACCACCAAAATTAGTCCTCTTAATTTTTAGTCCACTTTTCTTCTTATATCCTATAATCATTATTATTTTCATTCCCTCCTTCCTCTGCCTCTCCCTCTCTCCACTATCCAGGCTAATGAATGAACAATTGGAATGAACTTATTGCTTTTCTGGCCTCAAGACGTGTTCTTAGTTCCGTTATGGTTTTTGATGAGTCTTGGAGGGTGTAACTTGAAATGGCAGCAGATGTTATTGTTTAGAATCACCCAAGACAAAGTGAAGCCAAGTGAATGAGTGGTCAGTGAGAAGTTCAGGTTGTTTGGTGAAGTGGAAGGAGGGAGCTGCTTTAGAAGTAAGTGGTCAGACTGAGCTCTCCTGCTAACTGGACCAGCTTTTTGGGGAACCACACTTTTAGATAAACCTCTGAAGCCTTTGTGAACATCTGGTTCTTATTTCTCCTTTGAAGCTTTATGTGCACAAAACTTTAAGAGTCGTGTATTTCCACCAATGTTTTCTAACTCATGAACTGTTCTTTTCCCCATCTACTGTCCTCTATTAGAGGAAGCAGGAGCACTTTGGTACAGGTGCTTGCTGTGGAGAGTCATGTAAATGCACTGAATGCTATAAATAGCCTGATGACTTGTCAAAAAAGTCAAGCCAGTGGCTACGTATTCTTTGTGAAATTATTGCTTAAACTCGAAGTTCTAGTTATACGATGAAAAGCAAAATGATTTTATGCATTAAATGCAGATCTCAGAGACTATTATCATGAGGTTTGATATAAAATATTTAGACAGTTGCTTCTTTGAAATTGTAACTTCTAGAATGGTAGGTTCTATATTTAATCTAGTCAGAATTTCATCTGGAAGTTCTATCTCCTATAATGGGAAAAGCCAGTTTTCTCTCTTTTTCAGAAGTGTTTACTTTATGTACCATATGTATGTAGAAGAACCCTATGTTTTTGTATAAATCTTGATTATTTTAAAAAACAAAAGTAATGGAAATATTTTGGCATTTTACTAATTTCTTTAGTTAAGGGAATTCATAGAAAAATGTACAACACTTTCACAAGTATGTTATTTCAAAGATAAAATACATACTTCAAATAAAAAATCCTTTTAAATTATGCTAACAGACAAAAATGTAGGGTATTTGACAGATTCCATAGAGTTTATATTTTTTAAAAAAAATTTATTTATTATTGGGGGCTGGAGAGATGGCTCAGCAGTTAAGAACACTGGTTGTTCTTGCAGAAGACCTGGGTTCGAATCCCAGCACCCACATGGCAGCTAACAACTGTCCGTAACTCCAGTTCCAGGGGATCCGACAGCCTGTTCCGTCCTCAGTGGGCATTGCATGACATGGGTACACTTACCTACATGCCGGTATAACACTCATACACATAAAATAAAAATAAAATATTTTTTAAAAATATGTAGAAAATAAACTCGAGTTCTCCCACAAAGGAGAGACATGGACTAATTCCACAGGGGAAAGAGGAATTAAATGAACAATACACACATACACATAAAATAAAAGCAGTTTAAAAAATTATTATTTTTATTTAATGTGTATGAGTGTATTGCCTGCATGTGTGTAAGTGCCCATGTTGTGGAGGGAGTGAGTGCTGGGAACCAAACCCAGGTCCTCTGCAAGAGCAGCCAATGCACTTAACCACTGAGCTATCTAATCTCTCCAGCTCCAGAGTTTATATTTTAATTTTATTTATTTTTTATTTTATGTGTATGTGTGTATTGCCTGCATGTAGGTTAGTGCACCTGTGTTGTGCAGTGCTGCGGAGGTCAGAAGAGGCTGTCGGATCCCCTGGGACTGGAGTTACAGACAGTTGTTAGCTGCCATGTGGGTGCTGGGATTCGAACCCAGGTCTTCTGCAAGAACAACCAGTGTTCTTAACTGCTGAGCCATCTCTCCAGCCCCCAGAGTTTATATTTTAAACAGGGGCTACTTGCTACATAGTAACCCTATGTCAATCTCCAGTGTGCTGGCTCTGTAGGCAGCTGTCTTTCTGAAGGAAGTGATTTCTCCTTGCTTCAAGAGTTGCCAATGCTCCTTGTAACCAGAAACTCTTGTTGCTCAAGTTTTCAGTTTAAGAGAAAACTGGATATTTATGTGAAATCTTAGATTTTCTAATATTGGCAACCAGTGCATTTGGAAAAAAATAATTCTTTGTTTGCCAAAGAAAGCACATCTTTGTGCCAAATTTTGTCTGCCAGCCAACAGTTTATGACCTTTGCTAGATAAGGAGATAGTCTTTCATCTTTCTCATAAAAAAGAAAGCTTTATTACTGAGTATGAAATACATTTTAAAGCAACATATAAAAACCCTGTTGGATTTTTAAAAATTGATTTATCTACTTATTTATTTATTTGGAGACAGGCTCTTCCTATAGCCCCAGCTGGCCTGGAACTCTCTGTGTAGAACAGGCTGGCCTCCATCTCACAGAGATCTGCCTGGGATTAGTGTGTGTGACCACACGCAGCTTTACATATTTATTTTCATTTGTGTGTATGTGTGTGTATACCACTTGTGTGCAGGTGCCCATGGATGCCAGAAGAGGGCATCAGATCTTTAGGCGCTTGAGTTACAGGCAGTAGTGAGCTTCTCAATGTAGGTGCTGGGAACTGAATTCAAGTCCTATGAAAGAGCAGCAAGTGGTCTTTACCCTGGGGCCACCTCTCCAGGTCCAATAGTTGTGTTTTTGATGCATAATGCTGGAGACTTGAAAAACCAAATTGTTATTGGTTTGTTGTTTTTCTTTTTTTTAAGTCCATAATCAGTTTACCTAAAATTTTTTAATTTTTAGAATTATTTTCATAGAAGAAATAATGCTGGTTGTTCTTCACTATAAAAATTTCAGGCATTTCCAGGGCTGGAGAGATGGCTCAGCAGTTAAGAACACTGGTTGTTCTTGCAGAAGACTCGGGTTTGAATCCAGCACCCACATGGCAGCTAACAACTGTCTGTAACTCCAGTTCTAGGGGATCTGATGGCCTCTTCTGTCCTCTGTGGACATTGCACAACACAGGTGCACTTACCTACATACAGGCAATACACTCAAATGCATTAAAAAAAATTCAGACATTTCAAAAATACATAGTGAAGGTCTCCTACCCGCTGCCCTACAGCACTGTTAAGGTTTGTGCTGCATTCTCTCTGCTTCCAGTTGATACCACTCCTGGATGATCTTTTGTTTCATTCAGGCTTACCACCACATATTCTTTCTCTTTCCTCCCTCCCTCCACCTTTCCTTCCTTCCTTCTTGGAGTTGAGGATGTAGTCCACTTGGACTTCTTGGAGTTGAGGACAGAGTCCTTGGAGTTGAGGATGGAGTTGAGGCCTGGCCTCACCCATGCTTAGCCACTACTGAGCTATACTTCATCCCCTTGTTGAATGTGTAGTTGATCTTCGTTTAACTCCATTTGTTCTTACTTCTGTTTGAGGTAACTACATGTTCTTAGTTCTCTGTATGTTTTGGTACCAAAGTGGCCTCATAACCAGTTCTGATACTAGATTGTTCCTCCAAAGACTCGATAGGCCCTCAAGCACCTAATTTCCCCAAGGGCTCTTTAGCATGAACAAACTAAATTGGCATTTAGGTTCATTTAGCATTTTGTGAGGGTTCAGTCTTCATTGTTTTGAAGCTTTTCCCCAAATAAAGGGCAAAGACATGAGACACGTCATTGCTTTGGATACAGTTTTTATGATTAATTAAGCATATTTCAAAGTGCTTTAAGTAATAGAAAATTACAGCCTTAAATGTATGTTTTAGGTGACTAGAAGCATGAAAACAAGTACAAGATTTAAAGTCATTTTCCTAATACCGTGTCAGAAAATATGTCTCTCTGTAAATGTATTCTAAGTTGAGTAAATTGATTATCCTGAATCAAGCCCATGTTCTGTGATAAGCCTAACTTCTTGGGATAGGTGATTCTTGGAAATTAGACTTAAAAACCAAATTGCATAATTGCTTTAATAAGAATTACGTAAAAGGCTCTAAAAAGTCCAGTGAGCTACTGAGGTACATGCAGTCACCTGGGGCTCTGGGAGACTTCTGTTGAGGAAATGGTGAGCTGAGCTGTGTGGAGCAAATTGAGTGGGCCAAAGCTTGGAGGTGATGGGATCATTCATTCCAAGGAGAGTGACTTGCTAAGAGACGGGAGTGGAAGGAGCATGCGTTATTGCCGAGAGAGAGGGAAGTGGGGGCAGGCATGAAGGCTCAGCTCACAAGGACCTACAAGCCGCATTCAAGATTAGGTCTATTCCTTAGACAACAGAGTCCTATAAAGTGTCAGCCAAACCAGGTCACTTGAGATTAAAATGGGTTGCTCCTAATAGTGAAGGAGGATGCCTGGCCCCTATGGCTTAAGGATGACCAAGGAGTAGATAGGCACAATGTTTTAAGGAGCAACTGACTTTATTAGATTTGTATTTAGGAAGATTCCTCTGATGAGTCTGGCACAGAAAGACAGATACACATGATTCTTAGTCATATGTGGAAGCTGAAAGTGTTGACCTCAAAAGAAGCAGAAAGTAGAACTGTAGTACCTGAGTAGAGGGGTGGGAGGTGCTGGAAAATGTCAATCAAGGAGTCAGATAGGAGAAACTCAGAAAGAAATTGTGTTCATAATAGGCAAATGGAGACAGAAAGTAGTGTCAGCAGACCAGGGGCTGGAGGGTGGAAGAGAGAGGGAAGATATGGGATGGAGGGAGATGGGAATGACTATTACTGTTAATGGAGTTTGAGTCCAGGGACCCACATGCTAAAAAGAAAGAGCTCCCACAAGTTGTATTTGATCTCCACATGAATGCTATGGTGCACACACATGCACACACACACACACACACACACACACACACACACACACACACACAAAGAATAAGCATGTCAGGTAGACCTTGGCCAGGGCCCGGGCACAAAAGCAGTCCTGCACCTGCCGCTGTCCTGCTGCTGGAGGCTTAGGGAAAGTAAAGGACCATAAAAGTTGCAGTTCATCAAAAGCTGATGTGCCAGGTTGGCACTGAGGTCTGTCAGTGAGGTGTGCTCCTGTCATTGTCAGGCAAGGGCCATGGAGATCACCTCTCTGCAGGGTCAGCAACACGTGGTGAGAGGAGCCCAAATTCCTGGTGTCGGACTTGAGGGTCTACCTCCCCTCTGGGTTTTGGATACTTCCCCTCCTTGTAGACCTCTAACTGAAGCTGCTTTAAAGCAGTTTGCCCAAGTTGGTTCCCGTCACCCATGGTGGTGGCTCACAGGTGCCTGTAACTCCAGCTCCAGGGAGATCCAATGCTTCTGGTCTCCACAGGCGCGCATA